TGCTGTTCACAGGTGCCCCCTGTGCTCCTTCATCCAAAGCAGAGGCACTCTAATAAAGGAGATGTGTTACTGGCCAGATCACCAGTTGAAAACAGAGGGGAAAAAGAAAACTAATGCAGCCACTAAATCTAATGATTGATAAGCTGCAATATATTACATTTTCTGCTTTGGGATTCATTCCATTTTAACTCCTCTCCTCTGCACAAACTCACCTTCCTTCTGTTCCCTGACACTTTGTTCATCCTTCTGTTGAGGAAGCAGGATGCCCTGTGGAGGTTTTAAACCCTTTTTCGCCCACCAAGCACCTGCATCAAGGAATGGGGGTGACCCACATGCTCCCATTATTCCACGGAATTCATTGATATTTCATTTCCCTTCCTGCAACCAACCAGAGTGCAATGTTAACCCTTTCATGCCGGTGCCTCCTGGCCCTTTAAGGGTTTCAGAAGCCGGGAGGCGGGGGGGGTTTTGGGTCATGTGACTGTCGTGACACGATGTCACGGCGGTCACATGATTGGGAAAGGTCCCGATCGAAAGAGGATATTGGGACCTTTTCGTGAGTACTGGACATGTGTGCTGGGGGGCGCACAGGGCACGTGCTCTCAGCACATATGTTCTTTTTTAATAGAACGCAAATGTGCGGCCGCTTGGCGTCTAGGCCCAAACACGGGGAGGCCGCACATTTGCCGGTGTGAAAAGGTTAAAAAAAGGAAAGGTGAGTATATAAAGCTGGGAAGGGCAGTTAAAGCAGAACTTAACTCCTAAGTACCACTTGCCGTGCTTGTTAATTGCAGTCATAAGTAGGAGGGATTTGAGCTATAGTCAAGGAACCATCAGCAGGGGTCAGTGCAAATCAATTCGCCATCCCATATGCACCATGTTCAAGGAAAAGAAAAGGACCAGCGCTCTAAATAGTGTCAAACCAGATGGATCACTTTATTGAAATAAATCAATTGCACTTACATGGGTATAAACATCAGAGCATTGTAAACACTCTAAGAAATAGCCGAATCATGCTTTCGGGGACACTTCCTGTTGCCTGATGACATCACGAAACGTAGCTCTATCCTACGCGTTTCATCAGAATTGACATTCTAGATTAATGCTAGTACATTTGCTTAGCATTATTTTCTCTAAAATAGGAGATTAACCAAAAAACACCTTTCTCTGTCATCTATTGAGAGATGCATATTGATAGTAAGTAATGTAGGGCAGGGGCGGACTGACCATTTGGAAACTCGGGCACTGCCCGAGGGCCCAGGGTCAGTAGGGGGCCCCATGAGATGCCCCTGGTACCTTTTTCATAGGCTTTTTTGAATTTGGGCAAGGACACAGGGGCCCCATGTTCCCCTATTGCCCGGCGGCCCCATGAGTTGTCAGTCCGCCCCTGATGTAGGGTTATACTGCCAACTACAGGAGAAAAGGACATTAGGCACATATTGGAGGCCAGCGCTAAGGGGCTATAATACCAATCCTGCTTAATGTCCTTAAGAAGAATGGACATTTCCCTTTCCGTTCTCCTATTTTTTTTTTTGTGAAACTCTGAATATTTTTTTTTTTTCTATTATCAACAGCTGCTGGTAGAATCCTCTGTCCCGATCTGCAGGGTATGCCTGCTTCAATGGTTTTTCGGCTAAGCAAGCATGTAAGAAGGCTTTGTTATGTTTACCCTTCATGGGAGACTGTCTTTTCGTTTCTTCACTGGATGATACTAATAACATACAACAGGGTGCTCATTTAGGCGTGCAAACCTGCAAACCCAAGAAACAGCGACACGGGTCGACATCTTCCTTTCCTGCATCAAAATGTTCTTTCCTTGCTCCAAGTCAAGTTCCAGTTCTTACACCCACAAGTTGTCTACCATTCCCTCGGCTGGGGGGGATTTAAATGACTGTGGCAGACAAAAGGATCTAAGCCAGCTGATAAATCTGTCCCTGCACAAACGTCAGCCCCCACCAATTTTGTCAAAGGTGGGGGATATATCATAACCATCATGGAAATTTGGGAAGCTCACATAGCTAAAGCTTGGGTGCAAGAGTTAATTTTGAGGGGCTACAAAATAAGGTTTACTCTCCACTCTCCAATTGTGGGATCTAAATCTGGTTTTGTTGGTGTTACAAAGACCTCTTCTCAACCTATTTTGACATCTTTGGTGTCTTTCCTGCGTCCATCACTTCAGCCAGAAGAGTTTCTGAATTATCAGTGTTGTCCTGTAAGAAGCCTCATTGAAGTTACATAGGGACAAGGTTGTTTTGAGACGGAGGACCTCCTTTTTACCAATAGTGGTCTCAGCCTTTCACCATAATGAGGATATTGTGATACCCTCCCTGTGTCTAGCAGAAAATTATCTTAAGGGGATTACTTTCCATTGCTTGTATATAGTGAGGGTTGTCAGGGTTTATCTTTCTGCTACTGCTTCCTTTAGGCCAGTGGTCTCCAAACTGTGGCCCTTTGCTTGCCTTTATCTGGCTATTGGGGCACTGTTTCTCCCACTGAGGAACTATTTGTTCTACTGACACCAGCGATGTGGCACTATTCCACTGACGCCAGTGATGGGGTACGATTCCTTCCACTGACACCAATGACGGGCCGATAATTCTCCCAATGACACCAATGAGGGAGCACTATTCCTCCCACTGATACCAAAGATGGGCTGTATTCCTTCCACTGATACCAATGATGGAACACCATTTTTCCCACTGACACCAATGATGGAGCACTCTTTCTCCCACTGGTACAGATAGTGTGGCACTATTCCTCCTACTGACACCAATGATGGGTCACTATTCTTCCCACTAATACCAATGATGGGGCACTGTTCCTCCTACTACTGACCACAGAGCTATTCAATTTTCTATTCCCACTGACCACTAAGCCGTAGACATTTTCTACTCCCAAAGGCCACAGTCTGGCAACCCCTGAAGGACAGTGAAATAGTCCTTTGTTTAGAAAGTTTGAAGACCCCTGCTTTAGGTAAACTGATTCAGTTTGTCCTTCAAGAATGTTCTAAGGGAGGTTCTCCAGATTTCAGGTCCACTATTTCTAAGTGGACTCAACAGATTATTGTGCAGGCTCATGAGTCTTAAGATAAGATGCGTGTGGGCAGAGTTTACGTTCATGTGAGGAACCTGAAGAGAATGCTTACTGGAGCTCCCCAAACACAAGGCTGGCATTAAGGCAGCACTACAACTTATAGGTTTTCTTTTCCAAAAGAACACAATTAACTCCATAATTCGTGGCACAGTTCTTTAACCTCTTCACGTCGGCCGACTACAAATGTGCGGCCTCCGGGCGTTTGGGCCTAGACGCAGAGCGGCCGCACATTTGCGTTCTAATAAAAAAGAACATATGTGATTAGAGCGCGCGCCCTGCGCTCTCCCAGCACACATGTCCGGTACTCACGGAAAGGTTCCGATCTCCTCTTTCGATCGGCACCTTTCGCAATCATGTGACTGCCGTGAGTCACATGACTCTAAACCCCACCCCGCCTCCCGGCTTCTGAAACCCTAAAGGGCCAGGAGGTGCCGGCGCGAAGGGGTTAACTCATTACACTCTGTACACCATGGATAACAGTTTCTCAATACTCTTCAAAACTCTTCTCTCTGTTTGGTGCAGTATTTCTGATCTGTACTGGATTCCACCAGCCCAGTAATCACCTCAGTCCCAGTGACACTGGTTCATATAGTACACTTAAATACTAGGAAGATGGATTCCATAACCCATGCTTATTCTTCTCCAAAGGCATCACTCCATCTTCTGTGACTTACAGGCTGGGTCCCTAGGATGCCCTCTGGTGCGAGTCGGACCCAGTATTGGGGTTCCTATTGGTATTGGGAAGGAGCCCTAGCAAACAAGCTCCTTCTGTTACCTGTGCTAAGTCACACCGCTTCCCAACTGGCTGGCTGCTTTTGCACTCTACATTAGTACTGTAGTCACTAGCAACGGCAATATAGTTTCCTCTGAATAGCTTCACTGCACGTTAGACATATGTACTGCATCTTCTCTAACTTGTCTTGTCCCCTAATAAGCCTTGTTTTTGTGATACTCCATATATGCATGCACCTCTCTAAGGTTGTTCTAGAGTGACTTCGGACCAGGCCAAGATGTAGGTAACAATGAAAGTTCTTAGTGAAGTTGTTAAGAGTAACATATAAACAGTTCAACAAAGATGTTTTCAATATCATTCATTTCTGTACACAGTCTTCTAAGAACCCCTTAGTTATCCTCCTGTCCCTTCTACTTTTTGAGCTAATCGTACCTTCAATAGGTGTGAAAATCCTTTGTGTCCATTATCCTTAGAGCCAATCCATACCCCTGGAACCCCAACTGTGCTCCCACAGGAGGTGGTAATGTGCAAAACAGCGAATCACATCTTAACAGCCTTCTTGTACCTTGGATGGGGAGAGATGGAACCGAACCTCCGGCTGTCTTACTAACTGCAGTGCCTCCAAAGAGGTGGTTCCCTCCTTTTTTAAGTTTTTGCCCCAGCAAAGGGCGGTACTTCCCAAAAAAGCCTGGGAAAATATGGACATCAGAGTTAATTCTTACCTCCCAGGGAGTACCATCTCAGAAGGGCAAACAAAACTAAGCAGTGCTTAATGGTTTTTCTAAATTCTAACCATATACATCAACTAGAAAACAGTAGAACATTTTCAACAAATGTAAAACATTCGACATCCACCTGCTTACATGCATCCATGCATGCTTACATGCATCACATTAAAGCCCACTCCATTTGGGCAATGAGTGCCTACTGGGGTTTATTGCAATCCGGCTTTTTGTGTGATTTGTAAGACTGTGCCCCTCAGTTTGAACAGCTTTTGGATTTCCCTGCAATGCTTACTATCAAAATGTATCTCTCAATGGGCAATATAGAAAATATTTGGCAATCTGAAGGACAGCATTAGTAGCCTATGAAGCTATTTTGTGTTGAGGAAGTGCTTTACAATGCAGATGTGACCTGTCCTCTTAGAACAAATATTTCCTTACATCTTTTCCCAGGAAGTCTGTGTGATCGAATTAGTCAGTGTTACATGCTACCTGTGCTGGACACAATCTATGTACAGAAAAAATGGCGGAAACATGGTTTTGGAGTGACTATGTTACAAGACTTCTGCCAGATGTTTGCCCAGGAAGTTGCTTTGGGTATCAGCTTTCCCATTTCTTCTGACATGTATCATGGTAAGAAAACCTGATATCAAAACCTAACATATGTTCCTTTTTTATGCTTTTTTATTGTAAAAATAACCCCAGTGTATTATGGTCTGTTAACCACTTCAATACCGGGCACTTGTACCCCCTTCCTGCCCAGGCCAATTTTCAGCTTTCAGATCTCTCACAGTTTGAATGACAATTGTGTGGTCATGCAACACTGTACCCAGACTATATTTTTATCATTTTGTTCACACAACTAAAGCTTTCTTTTGCTGGTAATCACCACTTGGTTTTTTATTTTTTGTAAATAAAAAAGACCAAAAAGTTTGAAAAAAAAAGTTTTCCTTTGTTTCTGTTATAAAATTTTGCAAATAAATAATTGTTCTTCATAAATTTAGTCCAACATGTATTCTGCTACATTTCTTTGGTGAAAATAACCCAAATTAGTGTATATTATTTAGTCTGTAGGAAAATTATAGAGTACACAAACTATCTGAAAATCGATCAGTCCTGATGTACTGATGGCGGATCTCATTTCTTGAGGCCATAAATGTCAGGACAGTGCAGATATCCCCCAAATTATTCCTTTTTGGAAAGTAGACAGTCTGTGGTTTTTAGTAAGTGGCATAATGAGTTTTTGGAGTTGTAATTTTTTGTCATCATTTTTGGGAAAATAAATAAATGAAAAAACTTTTTTTTTCACCAATTTTTTTTACATACTGTCACCAGTGCAGTACAGCATCATCATACAACTGGTGTGGTGGTGATCAGGGACACTGACTGGTGACCGTATGAAAAAAAAAAAAATTTTTTTAGAAAAAAACACTATGATCAGAGTAAAGTATTAATATAATGTTGCCATAGTAAGATTGTACTACTCTGGGGAAGTGATCAGTTTTTTGTTTTTTTTTTATGATTGAATTATGATTGCTATAGGCAAGCATTTAACTGAATGAAATCTATTAATTTAGTGGTTTTTGTTGTGATTAGCTGTGATTGGCCACAGCTAATCACATGACATAAATTTAATAAATGGGAGATGCTATACAATAAGTCCTCAATAACTTATGTTATTGTGCAGTCCAAACCCTATAAGTCCAAAAAAGTTTTTTGAAATCAAGTTCTTCTCAAATGATATCGTGTTCAAAAATCCTTCAGAAACTTCCTCCGATAATATTCCTCAAAAAAATAAAATATTTACATAGTGCATTATCTTTTTAAATCAAATAAATTATAATAACTTCATTCAAGTGGATACCCAATCCCATTAGCAATCAGTGAAAACGTGAATAAAGTGAAAAAAACTGTGAATCCAAAACAATAAAATACCACTGTGAATGTGAATCACTCTTCAGTGCTCTATTCAAACCGGCACTGTGACACTTCTAAGTGCAGTAAGGAATGCATACCCTTACCAATATTCCAAAAAACAGACGCTTTTATATCTTTCCAAAAGATAGGTGGGAGACAATCCTCCTATGGATCTTTACCCAGTAAAAACTGCCTTCATAATAACATCAGGATCCAAAAAGCCTTGAGACTCCATATATCCCCATCAAGCATGTTTCATATAAATGCAAACATATAAGGGACACAATAGTGTGATACCGCCAAGATCAATCATCAATTTAACTTTTAATCAGGATGCTTACATTTTACAAACTTGAAAAACGCTTTAAAATACCAAATTGTGGTTTTGCTGTCATGCCCAGGGGGATAGTCTTTCCCTCATCCAAAATGGCCGCCGGTCAACTTCCGGTTCCCGTGTGCGTGTTGACGTCACTTAATTTAATCACATGACATAGTTGGGCTGTGATTGGCCAAAAAAATGAAAGGAAGGAAATGAAAGGAAGCCATCCATTGTTTACAATTGTCATGTGACCTGCTGTGATCGGTCACAGCGATCACATGATATCGGCAACGGGTTGGTAAACAGATCTCGCTGCAGCGCTGCCCCAATCCGGGAGGGCATCATATGACGCCCACCCGGATCAACAAAAGTCCCGCTCGACCGTCATTTTGCTATTGGCTGGGTGGGAACTAATACTTAAAGGCACAGAAGACCTTTGCTATCCTTTGTGTCTTGGTACAATAATGGCATTGATCCTGTAGCTTGCTAGCCCTGGCATGAGGTTCTGGTGCATAAAAAAGCTTTCTGTAAATCTTGTGGCTGAGTCAAAGCACTTTCACTGAGTAAATGGGTATACACATTCTTTTAAAGCAAATCCTATGGGGGAGACTTACTAAAACCGACGCACACAGAATATGTTGCAGCTGTGCATATTAATATTAATCAGCTTCTAGGTTTTATTGCCAAAGCCTAATTGAACAAGCTGAAGTTGGGCACTGATTGGTTGCACAGCTGCACCAGACTCTATGTGCTCCAGTTTTAGTAAATCTCCTCTTATATGTCATTTCTATCACAACAGCAGGATAACGAATCAGCAATGAACCAAAATCCTAGCAATGTTTATAAGGCTACGTTCACACTAGCGCTGTGTGCAGGCGGCAGAGAGGCGTTTGGGAAGCGTTTTTACCGCTTCCCAAACGCCTCTGCCAATTCTGCACATTACAGCACATGGTGCTGTTCTAACGGGAGCGTTTGCGTCGTGTCGCGGCAAAACGGACGCCTCTGGACGAGTCAGGAGGCGTTGAAGCCTCCTATTCTCGTCTATGGTGCCGCTCCGCAAACGCCCGGCCGGCGTTTGCGGTTGCGGTTGCGGGGCGTTCGCGGAGCGGTAACACCACTCAAACTGCATTATAGGCGATTGTGGGGCGTTATTAACGCTCAGCAAACGCCTAGCAACCGCCGCTAAACCGCGCATGCGGCGTTTGTGGAGCGTTTGCGGAGCGTTAAAAAATGCTCCGCAAACACCGGACCAACGCTTGCCAAACGCTATAGGGGCGTTTGGCAAGCGTTGGCAAAACAGCCAAGTGTGAACGAGCCCTAACTGGCTGGAAGAGGATTTTCCCCCAGCAAAACTGGTGTTCCACTTACCCATGTCTTTTTTGCTAATTCTTTTTATTTTTTTTTTATTGAGTTTATTTTTGTTTGGATACAGCTTTGCATGACCACGCAATTATTATTATTATACAGGATTTGTATAGCACCAACAGTTTGCTCAGCACTTTACAATATAAAGGGAGACCATACAGCAACAATACAGTTCAATACAAGATGGATAGAGGGCCCTGATCCTTGGAGTTTACAATCTAGTAGTACAAAAAGGTAATAACTGTGGGGGATGGACTGGTAGGAGGAATAGAAGATTCCATTATTAGCTGAAGGCAGGATAGGCTTCCCTGAAGAGAGAGGTTTTCAGAGATTGCCTAAAAGTGGGCAGAGTAGGCAATAGTCTGATAGACTGGGGTAGAGAGTTCCAGAGGATGGGGGAGGCTCTGGAGAAGTCCTGGAGACCAACATGGGAGGAGGAGACAAGGGAACAAGGGAGCAGGTGGTTGTGGGAGGAGCGGAGAGGACGGTTTGGGTGATATTTGGAGACAAGATTGGTGATGTAATTTGGGGCGGAGTAATAAATGGTTTTATATAATGTTTTGAATTTTATTCGTTGGGCAATGGGAAGCCAGTGGAGGGATTGGAAGAGAGGGGTGGCAGATATGGAAGGGTTAGTAAGGTGGATGAGTCTGGCAGCAGCATTCATGCTAGACTGAGGAGGGGATAGCCTGCAATTAGATAGGCCAATGAGGAGGGAGTTACAATAGTCAAGGCGAGAGATAACCAGTTAAATTACCAGTTAAAGTAGTTCTAAATACCAAAAAATGGTCTGGTCATGAAGGGAGAAAAACCTTCCAGAGATGAAGTGGTTTAGATACAAAACAAAGCCATCTGCACATACCCTTGGTTTGGAAGTACAATACAGTCAATGCACACAAAAGTGGGAAACATTATCATGGTTATAAGAAACGCAACAAAGTCTTCCACACTTGGTTCTGCAGTAATCCGAGTTGTATGTATAAAATCATCATAAGGATTCATAACTTGTAGAGAAAGTGACACATGGTGCTTTATTTACTAAAACTGGAGAGTGCAAAATCAGGCTCACGTCTGCATAGAAACCGATCAGCTTCCAACCTCAGCTTGTTCCATTAAGCTTTGGCAAGAAAACTTGGAAGCTGATTGGTTTCTATACAGAAGTGAGCCTGATTTTGCACTCTCCAGCTTTAGTAAACAAACCCCACCTTTCCATCTACTGCCCCACCTTTCCATCTGCAATTTCTATGTAATAAGATGTGCACCTCCCCCTCCAATAGGATGATCTCATTTTGTGAACTTGTTATGGAGTTAGGATGGATTCATATATCAATATCACATTGGTACCCTTGGATGTAACTCCAGCATCCCATTCCTTGGACAATTTTTTGTGGCAACTTCTAGACTCATATATGGCTTTATAAAGTGGAAGTCCTGTATTAAAGCAGAACTTTAACCCATAACAACTTGATAAAAAATGATTTTCTTTAGCAAGGAACATACATTCCATATTAGTAATTATGCTACCAAAATTAGTGTGTGCTGTGAATTGCCTCCAGCATTGTTCCTGTTTCTTCTTGCTGGAGGCTGCCATTTTGCTGAAGCCCAGAGCCCCTGAGCAGCAGTAAATCTTTAGATTGTCAGCAGATCATTGTGACAGACTGCCTGACACCCCGACTGGGTATCTCCACCAAACTACAGCTTCCTCTACTCTGGAACCAGAATATAGCAAATTTACACCAAGCATTTAGACAGAATCAATGTTGGAGTAAAACAGGACTGACTTTATCAACAAACAGCGCTGCATTTATACAGAAAAACCTTCCCCCTAGACAGGTATGGCACACATTACAAGTTCCAGGAAAAAAATTACATTACATAAACAAACAATTAAACACAAGAACACAATTTATTCCTTCCTGGCACCTAGCAGTCTGAACTCTTGAAGTGATTAAACAAAGTGAGAGCTTATCACCTAAGACCTAATTACAACAAACAATAGTTGATGCCAGGAAACCTGAAACAGAAAATAAAGTTTCTTAACCCCAC